TCTCAGACTCTGGATCGCCTTCAGTACTTCCTCAATGGATGGCACCTCAGCCAGCCACTCACGGGGGGTGACTTCCTCCAATATTTGAGGCACCACAGCCTCAGCAGGGTCATCCCCACTTTGTCCCATGATGTTTTCCAGACTGAGGGATTCCCCCCTCCCCCAGGATCTCACAGACATGCTTAGCAAATCTGCAAACCTGTTCCTGGGGGTCGGAGATTGGATCACCGTTCTTTCCACCACCCATCCTTGCAGCGCCTCACGGCTCTCCGAACCTCCGAGCGAAGGTTGCGGTAAGCCTCCTCATTCTCTGACGTGGGATGCTGTAGCCAATTAGAGTGGGCCTGTCGCTTTTTCTCAACCATCCTGAACACCTCCTCTGTCAGCCAGGGTCTCTGGGGAGGTCTGGACCGCGTACCCAAAGCAGCCATTGCAGCTGCATGAGTCACAGTCCTACACCTCGCCCATTTACCCTCGACATCAGGAGTGGGGAACGATGCCAACTCCAGCCGCAAGCGATGATGAAATTCTCGCTTGCAACTTCCATCAGCTAGCTCAGACCAGGCCACATTAGGTTGGAATGGGGTCCTGGGTGTACACCCACCACCGGAGTGGAAGAATGGCAGGCGAATCTTACAGATGACAAGTCGATGGTCAGAGGGCAGATCAGCTCCACGGTATGTCCTGGTGTCAAGGACATGGGCTCGCATCCGCTGGTCCGTCACTATGTAGTCCAGCAGATGTTCTTGCTTAGACCCGGCATGCATCCATGATGTCGTGTGGATGCGCCAATGCCGGAACAGCGTGTTGGTAATTACAAGCCCATGGGCTGCACATAAATCTAGCAGCCTCCTACCGTTGTTATTAAGCTGATCTGGCCCATGCCTTCCAATCACTCCAGACCAGGTGCCATCATCATGACCAACTCGGGGATTGAAGTCACCCAACAAGATGACTGTTTCCCGAGGGGCCACTTTAGCCAGCACCTGTGACAGGAGGTCATAGAAGGCATCTGACTCATCACCACTCCTCGCTTCTGGTTGATGGGAAGGCGAGCCCAAAGTAGCCTGGGGCTTACAGCTTTCGACACCTCACCGCCACGCTCCCACGTCCCCTTCATTATTTTGTTCAGAGTCACACCCTGTTGTTTGGCAGTCTCCTGCCCCGAGTAGAAGACTGTCCACTCCTCATGGTGGCAGGAGCCAGAGGCGGTCCACCGAACATTCTGAATGTCACAGAGATCCAGGCGGTACCGGTCAAGATCCCGATAGAGGAGTGGCAGCCTTTCCTCCGCAGTGAGCGTTCGGACATTCCACGTGGCCACACGTAGTGGCTTTTTGTTGTTTCTGGAGGATCCCCGAGGGTAAAGATTCAATCTCCTGGCTCCGCCAGATGGGGTTTGGCCAGGAGACGTCATAGACGCCTGTCCCCCCGGAGCCTCCGGCACACACCGACACACACACACCCGAGTGAAATGAAACACACTGACACACACTGACACATTGACACACACCGACACACACACGAGTGAAATGAAACACACTGACACACACTGACACAATGAAACACACCGACACACACACACGAGTGAAATGAAACACACTGACACACACTGACACAATGATACACTCCGACACACACACACCCGAGTGAAATTAAACACACTGACACACACCGACACACACACACGAATGAAATGACACACACTTACACACTGACACACACTGACACACACACCCGAGTAAAATTAAACACACTGACACACACCGACACACACACACGAATGAAATGAAACACACTGACACACACTGACACACTGACACACACACACACGAATGAAATGAAACACACTTGACATACTGACACACACCGACACACACACACGAATGAAATGACACACACTGACACACTGACACACACCGACACACACACCCGAGTGAAATTAAACACACTGACACACACCGACACACACACGAATGAAATGACACACACTGACACACTGACACACACTGACACACACACCCGAGTGAAATTAAACACACTGACACACACCGACACACACACACACACGAGTGAAATGACACACACTGACACAATGACACACACCGGCACATACCGACACACACACACACGAGTGAAATGACACACACTGACACACACTGACACAATGACACACACCGGCACACACTGACACACACACACACACGAGTGAAATGACACACACTGACACACACTGACACAATGACACACACCGGCACACACTGACACACACACACACACGAGTGAAATGACACACACTGACACACACTGACACAATAACACACACCGGCACACACTGACACACACACACACGAGTGAAATGACACACACTGACACACACTGACACAATGACACACACCGGCACACACCGACACACACACACACGAGTGAAATGACACACACTGACACACACTGACACACACTGACACAATGACACACACCGGCACACACCGACACACACACACACGAGTGAAATGACACACACTGACACACACGGACACACACTGACACAATAACACACCGGCACACACTGACACACACACACACGAGTGAAATGACACACACTGACACACACTGACACAATGACACACACCGGCACACACCGACACACACACACACGAGTGAAATGACACACACTGACACAATAACACACACCGGCACACACTGACACACTCACACGAGTGAAATGACACACACTGACACACACTGACACAATGACACACACCGGCACACACTGACACACACACACACGAGTGAAATGACACACACTGACACACACTGACACAATAACACACACCGGCACACACTGACACACTCACACGAGTGAAATGACACACACTGACACACACTGACACAATAACACACCGGCACACACTGACACACACACACACGAGTGAAATGACACACACTGACACACACTGACACAATGACACACACCGGCACACACCGACACACACACACACGAGTGAAATGACACACACTGACACACACTGACACAATAACACACACCGGCACACACTGACACACACACACACGAGTGAAATGACACACACTGACACACACTGACACAATGACACACCGGCACACACTGACACACACACACACACGAGTGAAATGACACACACTGACACACACTGACACAATGACACACACCGGCACACACTGACACACACACACACACGAGTGAAATGACACACACTGACACACACTGACACAATGACACACCGGCACACACTGACACACACACACACGAGTGAAATGACACACACTGACACAATGACACACACCGGCACACACTGACACACACACACACGAGTGAAATGACACACACTGACACACACACACACGAGTGAAATGACACACACTGACACACACACACACGAGTGAAATGACACACACTGCCACACACTGACACAATGACACACCGGCACACACTGACACACACACACACACGAGTGAAATGACACACACTGACACACACTGACACAATGACACACACTGACACACACACACGAGTGAAATGACACACACTGACACACACTGACACAATGACACACCGGCACACACTGACACACACACACACGAGTGAAATGACACACACTGACACAATGACACACACTGACACAATAACACACCGGCACACACTGACACACACACACGAGTGAAATGACACACACTGACACAATGACACACACCGGCACACACTGACACACACACACACACGAGTGAAATGACACACACTGACACACACTGACACAATGACACACCGGCACACCGACCCCCCCCCCATCCAGTCCGCGTCCCTGGCAACCGGCACCCCCCGCGGGCTCCGAGAGGAGGCGGCGATGGCGACTCCACGGGCCACCCCGCTGCTGCCTGCGTGAGGCACCATCATCAATCAACATCGTTAACATCGTTAACATCACCACCACCATCAATCAACATCGTTTACATCAACATCGTTAACATCGTTAACATCACCACCACCATCAATCAACATCGTTTACATCAACATCGTTAACATCGTTAACATCACCACCACCACCACGAACATCGTTAACATCACCACCACCAATATTGTTAACATCACCACCATCAACGTACATAATTGACATCAACATCACTATTAAAACATTAATATCACCACCAACATCGTTAACATCACCAGCACCAACGTTATCCACATCATTGACATCAACATCACTATAATCAACAACATTAATATCATCACCACCATCAACATCAGCATTATTATCAACATCACTATAACAATAATGACCATCATCACTACCATCATAAACATAAACATCACCACCACCATCATCAACATCATCATCAACTCCATCATCATCAACTCCATCATCATCAACTCCATCATCATCGTTGTCATCGCCTCACTCACCACCACCTCACCCACTGTGGTTGTCAATCTGAGTTGTTGTTGTGGCATCAGTGGTGGTGGTGGAGTTGTTGTTGCTAAGTGTTGTGTTATTAAGTGTTGTGTTGCTGTTAAGTGTTGTGTAGTTTGTAGATAAGTGTCGTGTAGTTGCTGAGTAGTTACGTTTTGTGTATTTGTGTCGTTAAGCGTTGAGTAGTTATTAGATTGTGTTGTTGAGTTGAGTAGTTGTTAGATTGTGTTGTTGAGTTGAGTAGTTGTTAGATTGTGTTGTTGAGTTGAGTAGTTGTTAGATTGTGTTGTTGAGTTGAGTAGTTGTTAGATTGTGTTGTTGAGTTGAGTAGTTGTTAGATTGTGTTGTTGAGTTGAGCAGTTGTTAGATTGTGTTGTTGAGTTGAGTAGTTGTTAGATTGTGTTGTTGAGTTGAGCAGTTGTTAGATTGTTTTGTTGAGTTGAGTAGTTGTTAGATTGTGTTGTTGAGTTGAGTAGTTGTTAGATTGTGTTGTTGAGTTGAGTAGTTGTTAGATTGTGTTGTTGAGTTGCGTGAATTGGTTCTCGTGTGTAGAGACCATGGCCTCACGCAGAGTGCAAACCTTGCCCATCTCTATCAGCACCACCATCAGCACCACCACCACGATAAACACCATCAGCAGCTGTGGTACACGCGGAGCGCGCGACTTGACGCGACAGGTAGGTCCCAACATCACCTGGACCCACACACCGTCACCCACACACCTGCACCGTGCACACCGTCACCCACACACCGTCACCCACACACCGTCACCCGCACACCGTCACCCGCACACCGTCACCCACACACCGTCACCCGCACACCGTCACCTGCACCGTGCACACCGTGCACCGTCACCGTCACCTGCCTCCCACGCCATCACTCGCCTCCCTGTCACTCTTCTATCGCTGCTACTGCTGCTGCTGCCACCGCCATGGTCGCTGTTCCCGTGAACTCCACTCGTTCATTCCTCCACCCGTGTTGAGGACTCGGTCTGTACCAACCACTCGCTGCTTCGTGTAATCACCACACTGCAGGTCACAACACACTCACCCACTCACCACACTGCAGGTCACAACAACACACTCACCCACTCACCACACTGCAGGTCACAACACACTCACCCACTCACCACACTGCAGGTCACAACAACACACTCACCCACTCACCACACTGCAGGTCACAACACACTCACCCACTCACCACACTGCAGGTCACCACAACACACTCACCCACTCACCACACTGCAGGTCACAACACACTCACCCACTCACCACACTGCAGGTCACAACAACACACTCACCCACTCACCACACTGCAGGTCACAACACACTCACCCACTCACCACACTGCAGGTCACAACAACACACTCACCCACTCACCACACTGCAGGTCACAACACACTCACCCACTCACCACACTGCAGGTCACCACAACACACTCACCCACTCACCACACTGCAGGTCACAACACACTCACCCACTCACCACACTGCAGGTCACATCAACACACTCACCCACTCACCACACTGCAGGTCACAACAACACACTCACCCACTCAACACACTGCAGGTCACAACACACTCACGCACTCACCACACTGCAGGTCACCACAACACACTCACCCACTCACCACACTGCAGGTCACAACACACTCACCCACTCACCACATTGCAGGTTACAACAACACTCACCCACTCACCACACTGCAGGTCATATCAACACTCACCCACTCACCACACTGCAGGTCACAACAACACACTCACCCACTCACCACATTGCAGGTTACAACAACACTCACCCACTCACCACACTGCAGGTCACAACACACTCACCCACTCACCACATTGCAGGTTACAACAACACTCACCGACTCACCACACTGCAGGTCACAACACACTCACCCACTCACCACACTGCAGGTCACAACAACACACTCACCCACTCACCACACTGCAGGTCACAACACACTCACCCACTCACCACACTGCAGGTCACAACAACACTCACCCACTCACCACACTGCAGGTCACATCAACACTCACCCACTCACCACACTGCAGGTCACAACACACTCCCCACTCACCACACTGCAGGTCACAACACACTCCCCACTCACCACACTGCAGGTCACAACACACTCACCCACTCACCACATTGCAGGTTACAACACACTCACCCACTCACCACACTGCAGGTCACAACACACTCCCCACTCACCACACTGCAGGTCACAACAACACTCACCCACTCACCACACTGCAGGTCACAACACACTCACCCACTCACCACATTGCAGGTTACAACACACTCACCCACTCACCACACTGCAGGTCACAACACACTCACCCACTCACCACACTGCAGGTCACAACACACTCACCCACTCACCACATTGCAGGTTACAACACACTCACCCACTCACCACACTGCAGGTCACAACAACACACTCACCCACTCACCACACTGCAGGTCACAACACACTCACCCACTCACCACACTGCAGGTCACAACAACACACTCACCCACTCACCACACTGCAGGTCACAACAACACACTCACCCACTCACCACACTGCAGGTCACAACACACTCACCCACTCACCACACTGCAGGTCTCAACAACACACTCACCCACTCACCACACTGCAGGTCACAACACACTCACCCACTCACCACACTGCAGGTCTCAACAACACTCACCCACTCACCACACTGCAGGTCACAACACACTCACCCACTCACCACACTGCAGGTCTCAACAACACACTCACCCACTCACCACACTGCAGGTCACAACACACTCACCCACTCACCACACTGCAGGTCTCAACAACACACTCACCCACTCACCACACTGCAGGTCACAACAACACACTCACCCACTCACCACACTGCAGGTCACAACAACACTCACCCACTCACCACACTGCAGGTCACAACACACTCACCCACTCACCACACTGCAGGTCTCAACAACACACTCACCCACTCACCACACTGCAGGTCACAACACACTCACCCACTCACCACACTGCAGGTCTCAACAACACACTCACCCACTCACCACACTGCAGCTCACAACACACTCACCCACTCACCACACTGCAGGTCTCAACAACACACTCACCCACTCACCACACTGCAGGTCACAACAACACTCACTCACTCACCACACTGCAGGTCACAACACACTCACCCACTCACCACACTGCAGGTCACAACACACTCACCCACTCACCACACTGCAGGTCACAACACTTATCTCTCTGCTTCTTTGCTCGTACTGCCCCACTTTGTAATTCCCCCCACCCCCCACATTCTCTTAATAAGAATAACAACCTTGTTAATTCTTCTGCATTACAACTCTGATATAAATGCTCTTTATTGCTGGCCATTTTACGCATTTGGCCTTTGTATGTACTTATGTTGAACTTCTTTCGCACCGTACGTAGCCTAACGTGCTAGTCGGAGTTGCGTGGGAAGGACAACAAACTAAACACACACACACACAACAGCTGTGTTAAACAAATTCGTTTTCAAACCAGATTTAAAAAGTGCATAGAGAGCTCCTGCGGCTTCTTCATATCGGACGTTGTTCTACCACGTGTCAAGCATCCGCCCTGGTGACAGGACGTCGCGTTTTTCTTGTTTTTGTGGCTTTTCTTCTATGTCACGTGGGTTTTGTGGATTCCACGTTGGGATTATCTCCACCACAAAGACAAAGATCCCCGCAGGCAAAACCCTCCTCCTCCCTCATTGGGCAAGTGCTGTGAGGGGGCAGCTGGTGACGCCGAAACGGTGCGGGGGGTGGTGGCCGGCTCCACGTCCGGCCGTCTTTGTCTCCCCACTGCTGACATTTTCACACCACACCAGGTGTTCGCTTGAGGCTGAGGCGACCTACCGGAGGCCCCCAGGACCGGTGCAGATAATCACTGCCACTGATGTAGGCCGCGAGCGTGAGGCGAACTCGGGTCGCCGGGTTCGCGGCGCAGCGCGCTAACCAAATGCACCCCCCCACCACCCCCCCTACCACCACCCCCCTACCACCACCCCCCCACCACCACCCCCCCACCACCACCCCCCCCACCACCACCCCACCACCCCCACCACCACCCCCACCACCACCCCCCCTACCACCCCCACCCCCACTAGCCCCGTCCCTCCAGGTGAGGTCATCAGGCGAAGAGACGCGGCGCCTCCCGTGGCTTGCAGGAGCCGTGCAGGTGAGCGTGGTCAGGAGGCGTGGTGAGGTGTGGTGAGGTGTGGTGAGGAGGCGTGGTGAGGGGGCGTGGTGAGGAGGTGTGGTGAGGTGTGGTGAGGAGGCGTGGTGAGGCGTGGTGAGGAGATGTGGTGGTGAGGAGGCGTGGTGAGGAGGCGTGGTGAGGAGGTGTGGTGAGGTGTGGTGGTGAGGAGGCGTGGTGAGGCGCGGTGAGGTGTGGTGAGGAGTGAGGAGGCGTGGTGAGGTGTGGTGGTGAGGAGGCGTGGTGAGGCGCGGTGAGGTGTGGTGAGGAGGCGTGGTGAGGAGTGAGGAGGCGTGGTGAGGTGTGGTGGTGAGGAGGCGTGGTGAGGAGGTGTGGCGCCACGCATAGTCACCACCATCATGGTCAGCAGGCGATGGCGTATCCCAGCGGTTCGAATCCGTACAGGACTACTCGGCGCCGTCCTCACTCGCGGCGTCAGTGGGAGTGAGTGGCAGGCCACCGCGTGGCGGCGGAGTCCTGCTCACAATGTTCACAATTCGAAGGATGACACCGCTAACCCCTTAAATCAGAATGACACACAGAGCAGCAGCGGCACTCACCGCCCTCTACCTGCCTGTGACACGCAGCGCCTCCTCAGGAAGAGGGCCATCCTCCAACAAAGCTGTCGACCCGCACGGTTCACCCCGTATTCTTGTACAGAGAAATCGAGTTTTCAGGTCCATACGGCGCACAGCCGTTTCAATACGGGCAATTTTATTGTCTATTTGTTTTTCTCTTGTGATGGAACTTTGTAGGATTGAGATTTATAAGGGCACGGGGTGACCAAGAAGGTCTGAATTGGTCTGCAATAAGATCGGACACTGATAATGGGTTGACAGGTGTGCTCCAAGAGCGAGAGTTCCAATGTTACAATTGTTCGCATCATCAGCAGCGTCATCAGCAGCAACCGCAGCTCCACTGTCATAAGCATCAACACAATCATCTCCATCGTTATCGTTCTCATGGCCACCATTATCATCATCGCTACCATGATCATAGCTACCATCATCATCACCGCCATCAACATAATCATGACAACCATTCATCATGAGCATCGAATAAAGGCAAAGATCCACTGTATAGCGTTAATAGACATGGGGCAAGTGTGTTAAGAAAGCAGCACCTATGATGGCCAGCATCACGCCCGGCCGCCTTTGTTCCCCCCCCCCCCGCCCTCTCGTCCCCAGTCGTGCCCGCAGATGGAGTCCCCTCGTGGCCCCCTCGCCCTGCCAGCCCCCGGGCCCCCCCTGCTCATGTTGATGGGACCCGAGCCCCCCAAAGCCACCAAAAGGTCGCCCAAATCTTCCGAGCCCCCTAAGCCCCTCAGTCTCGCGATGCCTCCGGTGCCGACAGCGAGCCGCGGGGTTCCGCGTCCGCGAGTCCCCCGCGAAGTGCCCCCCGCCGTGGTCCCAGCCGTGCCCCCCACGGGGCCCCCCCCCGGGCTGGGACCCCGCCTGAACCCCCTGAGGCCCCCGTGGGTGGTGCGGCGCACCGTGATGCTGGAGACGCGGGACGCGCACGCGCACAACGAGCAGCGCGCCACCTGCTGGAAGAGACGCGAGCACGACAGGTGAGGGGGGGGGCAGAGAGGCGGCAGGTGAGGGGGGGGGGCAGGTGAGGGAGGGGGCCAGGTGAGGGGGGGGGGGCAGAGGGGCGGCAGGTGAGGGGGGGTAAGTGAAGGGGGCAGGTGTGGGGTGCGGGGAAGGGACCAGGTAACGTGGGCAGGTGAGGGGGGTGGGTTTGTGGGGGGCTGGTGAAGAGGGCAAGTAAGGGGGATCAGTGAGGGAGGGGGGTTAGGGGGGCAGGTGTAGGGGGGTTGGTGAGGCGGACAGGTGTGGGGGTAGGGGTGCAGGTGAGCTGGGCAGGTGAGTGATTACGTGCTCACTCCCATTTACCATTCAGGCAGCATCGCGGCTGGAGGAGACCGGTGTACGGGGAGCCGGGGGAGAAGGAGGAATACCGGTACCACGTGACCACCACCATCACCACATGATCCTCGCGAGATCCCCATCACCACCACGTGACCCTCACCACCACAGTTTACTCTTTGGTGTCCCCGACGACATCTCAATGGTGTCTCTGTGGCACCCCCCCCCCGCGCCGCTGGGGTCCTCCAGGAGGGAGATCCGCGAGTGGCTCCAGTCCCAGATGCGTGAGCGCGTGGCCCAGCGCGAGTCGGCGAGGGGCGAGGGGGCGGGCGAGCGGGCCCAGGCCGCCCTCGCCGAGAGCTGCGAGCGCCGAGCGGAGGAGCAGCGCGGCCGGGAGAGGCACGAGGCCTCCCGGGCCGTGAGGGACCACAACAAGAGGGTGGGGGCCGCCAGCGAGAGGGACGCGCGGACACGCACACGCACAGGGTGACACACAGACGGGCAGGGTGACACAGACAGACAGGGTGACAGACGGGCAGGGTGACACACAGACAGGGTGACGCACAGACGGGCAGGGAGACACAGACGGGCAGGGTGACACACAGACAGGGTGACATACAGACGGACAGGGAGACACAGACCGGCAGGGTGACACACAGACAGGGTGACATACAGACGGACAGGGTGACACACAGGCGGACAGGGTGACACACAGACGGGCAGGGTGACACACAGACAGGGTGACACACAGACAGACAGGGTGACACACAGACAGACAGGGTGACACACAGGCAGACAGGGTGACACACAGACGGGCAGGGTGACACACAGACAGGGTGACACACACACAGACAGGGTGACACACAGACAGACAGGGTGACACACAGGCAGACAGGGTGACACACAGACGGGCAGGGTGACACACAGACAGACAGGGTGACACACAGACAGGGTGACACACAGGCAGACAGGGTGACACACAGACGGGCAGGGTGACACACAGACAGACAGGGTGACACACAGGCAGACAGGGTGACACACAGACGGGCAGGGTGACACACAGATCTGAAGATGCATAGACAGACAACAAGACGAAGGTCCCCCGTGTAGCCTTAACAGACTATTGGGGGCAAGTGCTGTTAGAGAGGTGCTCCTATGAAGGCCTACATGGCACAAGGGGGGGGGGGGCGGTGGCCAGCACCACGCCCGGCCGCCTTTGGCTCCCGAGTGGCGATGTTTACCACCGCAGTAGGCATGTTCTCATTTAAGGCTGAGTCGACCTAGGGGAGGCCCAAGGCCGCTTCAGATAATCGTCACTGGTGTTGGCCGTGAGCGGGATTCGAACCCGGGTAGCCGAGTTCGTAGCGCAGCGCGCTAACCGCTACACCACCGCTCCCCGACACACAGACAGACAGGGTGACACACACAGACAGGGTGACACAGACAGACAGGGTGACACACAGGCAGGCAGGTAATGTGTGTAATGTGTGGGGTGACCTGGGCGGGGGGGGGGGGGTTCTGTGCAGGTGATGGAGCTGCGCTGGGAGATGGAGCGGAGCGAGCGAGCGCGCGAGTGGAGCCTGGAGCGGGAGCTTCTCCAGATGCAGCCTCTCAACTGGAGCGGAACCCTCACCTAGCGGGGTCACAGCGTGAACCCTCACCTAGCGGGGTCACAGCGTGAACCCTCACCTAGCGGGGTCACAGCGTGAACCCTCGCCTAGCGGGGTCACAGCGTGAACCCTCACCTAGCGGGGTCACAGCGTGAACCCTCACCTAGCGGGGTCACAGCGTGAACCCTCACCTAGCGGGGTCACAGCGTGAACCCTCGCCTAGCGGGGTCACAGCGTGAACCCTCGCCTAGCGGGGTCACAACGTGAACCCTCGCCTAGCGGGGTCACAGCGTGAACCCTCACCTAGCGGGGTCACAGCGTGAACCCTCGCCTAGCGGGGTCACAGCAGTCATTACTTAGATGGGTCCGTCAATTAAAGGGGACCTACAGTTATCAGTAATAACAATGAATAATGACAATCATTTAGTAGATTTCATGTTGGTGCCATTCTCACGGAGGAGGGCGCTCCTGTGTGTAACACCGAGTGGTGATAGAATAAAGAGTTAATTGTGGTCAATTTTCTAATCTGTCAAATTGGGCACACAGTGCGGCCGGTTCCTCGCTTTGAGAACACCTCGGGGCATTTGTTACGTCCACTGCGGTGAAGTGGACGGCTCGGATTCATTTCTGGTCGACATGACCCGGCAGTAATAACCAGGGCGGCCTGCCCGGACCAACCAGCGCCGGGCGAGGCTGCCACCGGGCTAGGCTGTGGGGCGACCAACGGCTGAGGGCTTCATCCAGCAGTGGATTGGTCGTGGCTGCTGCTGCTGATGATGATGATGATTGCAATGATTATGATGCTTGTGGAAACATTGCAGTAATAATAGTACAGTGGTGATGATGAAACTACAAATATATCGATACATCAATAAGAACGATGATTTTACAAAATAAATCACAACTGACTTAGAAATGCTGCTACTGCAGCAGCTGCTGCTGAGTTGGCAGCTGTGCACAAACACAAACAACAGCGAACACATTCGTGAATATGACTCACTGCACGTGGCCTCAAAATAAAATATAAATAGAGCAGGCGACTTTTCAGGCCCCTCTTCATGGCACTGAAACGCCACCTATTGCATCGATCCAGTGTGTGTGTGTTTTACGGCCACGGAGTTCTCGACGTGTGGAGGAGCTGTGTGTGCTGCTCGATGCAACTGCTCATCAAGATCGCGCAATGCGCGTGGTGATTCTGGGCACGGGAGACTTTGACATCGCTCGTGATTTTGCCGCCCTTGTAGAGTGAGTGGAGTGACGAGACGTTTCAATAAACCATCGATGCAAGAACGCAGTCCAACGCAATGCGGGTTGTGTGTTGAACTTCTTTCGCACCGTACGCAGCCAACCGCGCTAATCGGAGGTTCTAAATAAATGCGGTTTCGATCTACAGTCGTTGTAAAAGTGCATAGCGGCTTCCGAATATCGATTTCAGCGAGGCTCGGAGATGATGATGATGTCTGGACTGACAGTGCTCATCATCATCATTGCAGCACTGCAGGTGTCACGTGGTGATGTTGGCACAGCAGGGGGGGGGGGGGCACAGGTGGTGGCATCGGCCACTCATCTCAGGCGAACCGTGCACCTGCTGGGTCCGCCCCGTGACCTCCTGCCCAGCGGGCGTTCGACACGTCACGTGGCCTCAACGTGCACGTAGCCTGGCACAGGCGCCGTCGTGACGTCACCGCCACTTTGTGGCGAGTGGTGGTGGTGGTGGTGTCGTGGTCAGCGGACTGCACTGCGAACCCGATGAACCCGGGTCGCGTGTGAACTTCGCCGCTGGGGAGACAAAGGCGGCCGGGCGTGGGGCCGGCCGCCCACCCCCTCGAGTGCCGTGCGGCCTTCACGGGCGCTGCTGCTGCTGCTCCTCGCTCACGGCACTTGCCCCCGACTGTTAAAGGCTACGCGGGGGACCTTTGTCTTTTGTTGACGATGTGGGTGACGATGACGTCATGCCGCGAGTGTTGACACTCGTGACGTCACGACCGGGGGGGTCACGTGGGTGCCACGCGGAACAGGGGAGATGGCGGCGATGACGGCGGCCCCGGCCCAGAGCGGTGGAGTGCGGCTCCTGAGCGATGGTGATGCGCGCTGCCCTCCCTGCTGCGCTGCCCTCCCTGCTGCGCTGCCCTCCCTGCTGCGCTGCCCTCCCTGCTGCGCTGCCCTCCCTGCTGCGCTGCCCTCCCTGCTGCGCTGCCCTCCCTGCTGCGCTGCCCTCACCACGCTGATGCTGCCCTCACCACGCTGCTCTCACTGATGCTCTCACCTGCCCTCAAGGTTCTGCCCTCACAGCTGATGTCACTGCTGCCCTCAGGGCGCTGACCTCACTACTGCCCTCACTGTTCTTACCTCACGGCGCTGCCCCCATTGATGCTGCCCCCATTGATGCTGCCCCCATTGATGCTGCCCCCATTGATGCTGCCCCCATTGATGCTGCCCCCATTGATGCTGCCCCCATTGATGCTGCCCCCATTGATGCTGCCCTTACTGCCCTCCCCATGATGCCAGTAAGTTGACCACCCTCGCCACACGGGTTATGACGTCATGTCATCAATGACTTCCGATCGAGTCACCCCGCTCACTCTCACGGATTCTCTCTCGCTGATGAGGTCGCCGCCATCGTCACCTCCTCGTCGCCGTCCCGTGCTGCGTTCCCTTCGCCCCTCTCATCGTCGTGAACACGGAGCAACCCGCGGTCTCCTTGCTCCATCAACAACCATCGTCTGGCGCAGAACCACCCGTGACGGCTACGCAAGACAACACAAAGCAAACAGTTCCCTGCCCTTCGCATATCTGTTCCTCCACATCAAATATAAACCTGTTCTTTTAACACATTCCATCAACCGCACAACCTTCGTTGGTGCGTAATAATTACAGCAGCAAGAGTCGGGCAAAGCGAATCCTGCTGACGAGGCACTGAATGTCGAGACCGGTCCACAGTTTGTTTGAGTTGAAGCAATGGCGCTTAGATGTGTTCCACGTGGAGGTATGGACGTGTGGTGTCTATGCGAATACCAGCTTGTAACCCCCCGGCACTGTGGGGGCAGCAGCGAGGGTTGTTGGATCACACAGACGCGGTGTGAACCTCCTCCCGTCGGCGTCGAGGAGGGTGCCGCACCCCCGGCGCGCCAGGAGAGGGCGGCACAGCGACGCGTGGACGAATCTCCACCCCGCCTCATTGAGATGAATGGTTACCACCCCCACCCCCTTCCGCGCCGGGGTTTGCCCCGAGTGCTCCTGTTTCCATCTTCACGTGAAAGCCAAATGCAGCAGGAGCAGCAGCAGGACCCTCCTGAAGCAGCAGTAGCAGCAGCAGGACGACCCTCCTGAAGCAGCAGCAGGACCCTCCTGAAGCAGCAGCAGGAGCAGCAAGAGCAGGACCCTCCTGAAGAAGCAGCAGGAGCAGCAGCAGGAGCAGCAGCAGGAGCAGCAGGAGCAGGACCCTCCTGAAGCAGCAGCAGGAGCAGCAGCAGGAGCAGCAGCAGGAGCAGCAGGAGCAGGACCCTCCTGAAGAAGCAGCAGGAGCAGCAGCAGGACCCTCCTGAAGAAGCAGCAGGAGCAGCAGCAGGACCCTCCTGAAGAAGCAGCAGGAGCAGCAGCAAGACCCTCCTGAAGCAGCAGCAGGTGCAGCAGCAGGACCCTCCTGAAGAAGCAGCAGCAGCAGCAGGACCCTCCTGAAGCAGCATGACTCGAGAGAGTGGCTCCCCTGGATCGATTAGAAATAGAGCTTCATAGCTCATCGGATTCCTCCACTTCTAACTCATGATTCTGCAGCGTGGAAGGGAATTGTCCGCTTTGTTTTGTTGCCCAACGCGTTGTGTCTCACGGATGACCCCGCTCGTGGGCGAGGACGAAAACGGCGGTGGTCGTTACGGTGGTGGTGGTGATGGTGACAACGGTGGTAGTGACAATGGTGGTAGTGACTAGGGTGGTGGTGGTGACGGTGGTGGTGGTGACGATGGTGGTGGTGGCGGTGGTGGCGGTGATGGTGGTGGTGTTGGTGACGATGGTGACAGTGTTGGCGGTGACGGTGGTGGTGGCGGTGTTGGCGACGGTGGTGGTGGCGGTGGTGGTGACGATGGTGACGATGGTGGTGTTGGTGACAATGGTGGTGGTGGCGGTGGTGGTGGTGATGGTGACAACGGTGGTGGTGACAATGGTGGTAGTGACTAGGGTGGTGGTGGTGACGATTCTGACAGTGGTGGCGGTGGTGACGATGGTGTTGGTGACGGTGGTGGTGGTGACGGTGGTGTTGGTGACGGCGGTGGTGGTGACGGTGGTGATCTCTGCGCAGACTCGTACCGCGACTTTGCCCACGAGGAGTTTGACGTGCGCGGCTACACGACCCGCGCGCTTCAGGGCGCCGACACGGCCTCGCAGCTCGCACGGCTCGCCCAGGGGGTGGCGCTGCTCGACGCCGAGTTGCGAGCACAGGTGAGGTGTGAGGGGGAGAATAGGTGAGGGGGGGGATAGGTGTGAGGGGGGATAGGTGAGGGGGGATAGGTGAGGGGGGATAGGTGTGAGGGGGGATAGGTGTGAGGGGGGGATAGGTGAGGGGGGATAGGTGAGGGGGGGGGGATAGGTGTGAGGGGGGGATAGGTGAGGGGGGGATAGGTTAGAGGGGGGGATAGGTGAGGGAGGGATAGGTGTGAGGGGGGATAGGTGTGAGGGGGGGATAGGTGAGGGGGGATAGGTGAGGGGGGATAGGTGAGGGGGGATAGGTGTGAGGGGGGATAGGTGTGAGGGGGGATAGGTGTGAGGGGGGGATAGGTGAGGGGGGATAGGTGAGGGGGGGATAGGTGTGAGGGGGGGATAGGTGAGGGAGGGATAGGTGTGAGGGGGGATAGGTGTGAGGGGGGGATAGGTGAGGGGGGATAGGTGTGAGGGGGGATAGGTGAGGGGGGATAGGTGAGGGGGGAGAGGGGAGGGGGGGATAGGGGAGGGGGGGATAGGTTGGAGGGGGGATAGGTGTGAGGGGGGATAGGGGTGAGGGGGGATAGGTGAGGGGGGATAGGTGTGAGGGGGGATAGGTGAGGGGGGAGAGGTGAGGGGGGGATAGGGGAGGGGGAGATAGGTGTGAGGGGGGGATAGGTGAGGGGGGGATAGGTGTGAGGGGGGGATAGGTGGGGGGGGGATAGGTGTGAGGGGGGGATAGGTGAGGGGGGGGGGATAGGTGAGGGGGGGGATAGGTGAGGGGGGAGAGGTGAGGGGCAGACACGGCCTCGCAGCTCGCCACCAGGGGGTGGCGCTGCTGGGCGCCGAGTCGCGAGCACAGAGGCGGATCTTGAAACCTCCCAAGGAGGGGGGGGGATGGGGGGGGGGCTGCATGGGACCCCCACCCCTGGATTCACCACTGCCTCGACCCGACCTTGCGTAACCCCGAGCTGACATTGCGTAACCCCGAGCTGACCTTGCGTAACCCCAACACGTGACCCCGAGCTGACCTTGCGTAACCCCGAGCTGACCTTACGTGACCTCGACACTTACGCGACCCCGAGCTGACTTTGCGTAACCCCGAGCCGACCTTACGTGACCCCGACACTTACGTGACCCCGAGCTGACCTTAACTCTCTGGCCGTGTTGCAGGTGTCCGATCGGCATGAGGACCTCTTGGCCCAAGCCACTGGAATTGAGTCCCTGGAGGGTGAGCCCAATGGGGTTGTACATACAGTATATACAGTACATGTATACTTACAAAGACAAAGATCTGCCGTGTAGCCGTAACAGACTGTCGGGGCAAGTGCTGTTAGCGAGTAGCACCTATGAAGGCCGGCACGGCACGCGGGCGGGTGGGTGGCCAGCACCACGCCGCATCAGGTACACACATATATGCAACCGCCTCTCGAACACTGCACAGCAGCCGTGGACTTATTAGGTATGTGAGTCAATGGGACTCTTTTTTCATTTATGGGTCTCTATGTGAGTCAATGGGACTCTATTTTCATTTATGGGTCTCTATGTGAGTCAATGGGACTGTATGTAAGTACTGTATATGAGTCTCTATGTGAGGTGAGGGGTGGGGGGAGGTGAGGGGTGGGGGGAAGTGAGGGGTGAGGGGAGGTGAGGGGTGAGGGGAGGTGAGGGGACGGGGGAGGTGAGGGGTGAGTGGAGGTGAGGGGTGAGGGGAGTGAGGAGGTGAGGGGAGTGGGGAGGTGTATCTGTTGTTGCTTCATCCAAGGCTGTGTGCGATCGTTACAGGAGTGTTGCAGATGATGCAGGCCCGGATATCTGCTCTGCAGTCTGCAGTGGACAGGTGCTCGCAAATCATGGGGTACAACCCCACTCATCGTC